ATTTATTTGCACCCAGGGTATCCCACCCCCACCCCCACCATCTCAATAGGCTGAGATTTTGATGGGGGGGGGGGTGTCGCAGCAAACGGGGAGAGTTAGCCCTTTCTTTCCCCTGCTTCGCTCTCCCCTGAAAATTGCATCCTGCGTAACAAAGCCGAGAAAAACAGTTCCATTATTGCTAAGAGACAGTCAGCACTCTGTGGACCCTGGAAAATAGAGCTGGGTCTGGGGGTGCATGAGATTTCACCCCCTTGCCTGCCTACATGGAGGTTCCATTTTATCTAGCTATCATTGCTGGCTGGGCTGTTCCGTTTCTCACTGAGGTTGCCTGGGCCCGGCTCACATTTTCCTCCTTCACCTGGCCTCACCCAAGATCGGGCACATCCTGGGCCCATGGCTGGCTGAGCAAATGAGGCCTCTTTGGGCAGCACGGCTCTGCCAGTCGGTATCTCTCTGACAAAGGACACCCCGGAAAACTGCAGGCATTGAGAGTGCACAGGAGTGTCTGCCAAGGAAACGCAGGCAGGGGGAAAAATTCTCTCTTTCTCATTGCATCTTGTCTCCGTGGCTGACCTAGATTTTGGGACAGAGGGCCTGGGAAAGCCGAGGAGGCCCCGCTCGGCTCCACGCCTCTTGAACAGCACGTCCTTCTCCAAGAGATGCTTCCCGCCCTCGCCCCTCCTCAGCTCCGCTGCGGTTCACCCAGCAGATGTGGCAAAGAGGAGAAGAAAAGTCAGGATGGAAAAGGCACCGTGGGCTGGAAAAGGCCCCCCCGTTGGGCTCCATTCCAAAGACTGTGTGTGATTTCCTTCAGGGGGTGATGGGGAGGGCGTGCATGGCACTGCCTTTGCAGGTTGTTCGAGGTTGAACGTCATTAATGGACTAACGATGTGGGGAATCGGGCAGCAAAACGTGGGTCCCCGGTGCCAGGGTCTGCCCATCCAGGAAGGCTCGTTGGAAGGCAAGAGGATTTCTAGTTCTATCAAATGATTGGGAAGAAAGGGAGAAACTGCCCATTTCCGGAGCGTGGAGAGGGCTGAAGCTGTGCGCAAACAGCATCTCAGAATACTTTACCCGATCTGTGGACAGGGAAGACACAGGAATCGTTCCGTGCTGCAGGAACTGGCCAGAGCAGATGCAGTAGGTGGGTTGGGTAAAAACAAGGACTTTTCTCTAGTTGCAGTTTTGATCTGGGCCAGGGAGTAGCTCAAGGAAGAAAAGGCTGTGCCTTGATTTATGGCTGAGCAATACGTGAGGGGAAGGACTCATTCTCGAGCTGAACGGAGCCTGCTCGTATTTGCCTGCCTGGGGGAGGGAGATGGCTCCCTCCCCCAGGCAGCTTGGGCCTTGGTTCTGGGGGATATGAGACCTGGGCGCTTCTCTCAGATCTCTGAATTATTTCTCTCTCACCCCTCTTCCTCTCTTCCCATCTTGCTCAGCCGCGTGAAACTGGAATCCTTCCAGTTCTTCAGTCTGCCCCTCAAAGCTGGCTGTTCCACGTATAATCGCCGAGTGATCCGTCCCTCCCTGCTGTAAGCACGGCCTTCCTGTTCGTTTTAATCTGCAATATGTTGCAATGATTCACTTCTGGTTTATCTCTCATTATACGCTCATCCCCCTTCCCAGTATCTCAGACATGCGACTTGCTTTGGGGTGTAATCCTGAGCACCCTCATTGGGGAGTAAGAGCTGTGGAGCTCAGTGGAAATTACCCATGAAAAATCTTTGCACAGGGCAAGAACAGCTGCAAACAGTATCTCACATTCTCCACCCTGTTTGTGGACAAGCCCACTTGGGGAGTCTGTCCATCAAATTTCTCCCGGGGTCTCCGGTTTCATGGATAATGGGGTTCACCCTTAAGCATTAGCAGGAATGCATGTAGGTTTCTTCCACCCACCCACCTGATACATTGTTCCGGATCATCATTATAGGGCACTGTGGGAGGGTGTGTGGCTGCCTCCCACCCCCGAATGGGATAAATATTGAGAGAGCATCTTGTGAGGTGTTCTTCCTCCTCTTTTGAGGGGATGAGAAAAGGAAAGCTCCTGGACATATGCTCCACGGTGCCTCAGAAATGGAAGCCCACCAAATGGAAATGGAAGCCCACCAAATCAGACCAGGGGAAAAGGTAGGGATCACCACCTTCTTGGCAGCCTACATGTTGTACTGAGTACCTGAGTACCTGAGTGTGAGAGGATGTGGACAACCTGATGTCACCTGACGTTCTCCCAAGCCAGCTTTGGTGCCTTCTGGATGTCTTCAGCCCGAGGGAGGTGATGGAACATCTCCCCTTTTAGTAAGGTTGTCCTCAAAATGTACAGGAGCCCGTGTGGCAAAGCCGGGGTGGAGCTAGCGAGGGGAATTGTCCTAGGCTGAATTGCAGAGTCAGAGAAAGGAGAACTAACACTGGGAGGATTTTATGGTTGGGATGAACCCTTTGGAATTCAGCCCTACAGTATCTGTGGACTTCCTCTCATGCTTGGCCAGGTCCTCCAAAGCAAGCTGAGTCAAAAGGAAGTCCATCAACGCTTCCGGGCCACTAGTGGCCCAACTGGCAACCTTCCCAGCCTCCATTCCTGGAGGCCAATCTACTGCTGGTTCAGTTCCTGGTATGTGTCTAGTGAACTCTTGGCATGCTCATTAGAAACTCGGGCTCTGGGCTGCTGGAAAGCAGGCCAGAGTCCAGGAACCAAACAATGGGATCCTGTGGATTTCCAGCCCGAGACAGACACCTCTCACTTTGCTATTTCATTTTCCCAGGGACTTTAGGATCTTTTTAGTACTTCTACTTCATTCTACTGCTGCTTCTCATTTTTTTACAGGGCAATGGAAACATTCCCTTCTTTGCTGCATCTTATATCATGGTTTTACTCTGCATCATGTTTGTATTTTGCACTTGATGTTTGTGCATATCATGTTTTGGACGTGTCGTTCACAGCCCAGGGACTTTGGCTTATGGGTGGTGTAAAAGCAAAAGTCAAACAAGATCCAGTCAGCAGGGACTGTTTCTGGCAAGGAATGATGGACGTAATGACCCAACACATCTGCTGCTTTAGGTCTGAAAATGATGACAAAAAGAGGATTAAAGAGGAGCTGTAAAGGTCAAAACGAACCTTCCACCAGAGAATTAGAAGTCGGGAGCTCTAAGCATGATTTGGAAGACCGAAAGGCATCTGTTGCCTCTGAAAAAGAGAAGAGTGTCAAGATGCCCCTTTCCTTCCCATGCTCAGACACGGGAGCTGAGATCAAGTCCGTGATCACTTGGGAACGTCAGTGCCTTCTTTGCACCAAGTCCCCAATGCATGTAGTTCTTTGTGCAAAGTATGTAATTCTTTGGCAAAGGATGCAAAGCTCACAAGCCACGTGCACAGATGTTTGGACCCGCATGCAGGAACTCTCTGTGCAAAGGGACCTGGGGCAGAGGGAAAGTGGTTTGGGATCTCGAACTGTCCTTCTTGCTCGCATCTGAGCCCTTCCCAGTTTGTCTGCATCTTTCTTGAACCGTGATGCCCAGAACTGGACACAGGACTCCAGAGGAGACCTTACTGGTGCTGAGTAAAGGGGAACTGGGACTTCACATGCTTCGGATGCAAATCTTCCATTGCTGCACTGCAAAATGGCATTAGCTTTTTTGCAGCCGCATCACCCTGTTTCCGCATGTCAGGAGCCAGGTTTCCCCTTTGCACTTTCAGAACAATCGATCATTCTTTGGCAAAAGCTCTTTATTCCCCCACATACATCCAGGAAGCCCCATCACCATAGAAAGAGCCCCTGAGCATGCTCAGAGCAGTTTGTTGAACTCAGTCTGGCAAGGACTTCTGAGAACCCTCCTTTTGAGTAACCCTGTGTCTCTGGGAGGGTCCTTTTGGAGGGAGGCAAGCCGGGGGTCAGACTGGATGGCCCAGGAGGCCCCTTCTGACTCGCTCTGTTTCTCCGTTTCTTTGCTATACACCGCCCCACCCGTGGAGTAGCCCTTCTCTCATGCGTCATGGGGGTCAAAACTCATGCCAGGCTCGTCTGGCTCCTAGAACCCCTGTCCCATGCCCCCCTCCCAGCATTTGCAGATCCTGGCTGTTCTCAGAGTCCACCTGCACACCTGGAGAGGACGGCCTCGAGGTAAGCCCTTCCGCTTCTTCCATGGGACACAAGGTGGCGCTGTGGGTTAAACTGTTGAGCCACCGAACTTGCTGACTGGAAAGCCAGCAATTTGAACCCGCCCGGTGGGGTGAGGTCCCACTGCCTTGCCCCAGCTTCTGCCCACCTAGCAGTCTGAAAGCATGAGAACGTGCAAGGAGATGAATAGGTACCCACTTCAGTGGAGAGCTGGCAACCTGCATGGAAGCAAGAAGGCCAGTTGGCGATGGACCTGTAGCAACAGCGGCAGCTCAGAAGATGCTGACACGGCTGCAGGTTAATGCTAGCTGCTTCGTGTGCAAACTAGTCCACCCCACCCCATGGATGAAGCATAAGCATGACCTGAATCGCTAGCAAACATAGGCAGCCAACTCACTCTGTTCTAGCAGTGCGGGCTCCCTGGCTAAACTGTATCGACACCATACAAAACAAATAAATAAAACTTCTTCCATCGTGATATCTGGAGACCTCATTTCCCAGGGCCCATCCTCCCCATCTGAAGAGCCCAGACCTCCAACCTTGAAATGCTCACCAAGAACCAATTGCCTCTTTCCTTCCCAACAACTCCTGCCCATTTCGTGATCTACAGCAATTCCAAGATCCTCCTCGTTTGTAGTATTGCTGAGCCAAGGATCCTCCATCTTTTTGCTTTCCTTTTCCTCACTGCAGAACTTGGCATTTACCCTATTAAATTTCCTTCTGTTGCTTTCAGGCCAGAGCTCGAGCCGATTTGTCTCTTTCATGGACCAAATGGCCCCTGTTAGGCATAATTCCATGGCAAGCAGCATAGAATCACACCGATGGAAAAAGGTATTGCCAGAAACGAAGGAATAATGCATCTTTGTCTCTCTCTTTCTCTCCATGCAGGTCTCAATGAAATCCAGTGCACTGTTCCTGTGGAGGAAATCACAGTATATCTCAGCGAATTATCAGAAGCCAGTTTCAGGGATTGCAAATTTAATCTGTCGCTCACGGACCTTATTATCATAATCTTCTCCGGCGTTGCCGTCTCCATCGCCGCAATTGCCTCCAGCTTCATTTTGGCACTGATTGTGAACTGCTTCCAAAGATGTGCCCCCAGTAAAGATGATGATGAAGATGAAGATGAGGAAGACTGAACCCCACTCTGTTTCCACATGGCTGGATGAGCCGGTGTTTTCCCACAGATGGCAGCAAAAATGTATTTCACCAGGCAAGAAATATCTAAGGGCTGAGCACTTCTCCCAGGGGCTCGGTGGAATTTGCCTGTCAGTTTCCTAGGGAATGTGGCAAGGACTTTTGGCAGGATACAGACCTTTCTGGCTGCAGCACTTGTGCTCGCCCTTGGGTAAAAATAATTGTGAGACAAAAGAAGGGAAGCCTTCCAAGAGAAGATCAGAAGCAGCCAACAAGGGCATGAGGGTTTAGATCTGAATTTCTAGTTGGTGGCTTATTTTTAATGCTTTGTATTTTAGATTTTCCTCCATTCAGGTGTTAGCTAAGTAACCATCCCTCTTGTGTGGGGTGAAATTTAGCAAGAATAGCAATATACATGTGAACCAGTAAGCATCAAGCAAGAAACTGGAATTATTGGCCCTTCTGTAAGGGCAGAGTGTCGTTCATGATGCACTGGAAGCATCGTCTTCTGGTCTCCTCTCCTGTTGCCACTGTGTCCCAAGATGCTGAACTGATTCATCAGAACTTTATTTACTGCAAATGCCTATAAACAATCCGTCACTGGTGTCTGGAGAACGTTGCGGCCCTGTTGACCTTGCGCAATCACAGGATTTGAGTTGTTTTGGCTTTGGGGCAATTGACATCTGTTTGTGATAACAACAACACACACACACTTCCCTGTTTTGGAATGCAATGGGCAGACAACTACAAACTTTTCTGGACAAGTTCTATTTTTACCCAAATAGTTCCACAAGCGTGGTTTCAACATCTGCCAAGTTCTAAATGGGAAGCAGGTGGGCTGAGAAGCAAATTCTTCTTGTGTGATCGAAGGCTGTTCTTGGTCCACCAAGGTGGAACTGAAAGCAGCAGTGAAAATGTCATTTCCATGCTGCTGATGTGTTGCAAAAAGGAAGAAATGACGGCTTGGTGTGTGCTTTGCTTAGAAGTTTCTCCTTGTTGGGAACAGAACCAGCCTTCATTCAGAATGAGCTGTTTGAGATCTTGCTTTAAGACACCAAAGTCCACACCTTGCTGCCAATCTCTGGTTTCTTTCAAACAGGAACGCAGAACAAAGCCCCAGGTAGATATGCATCCCTAATTTCCCCTATCCAAATTTGCCTCTGGACTTCAGAGCTGCGAATTTCCCAGTCTTAGAAAGAAATTCCCAGTAGAAATAACGTACTGGGAATTCTCCTTTGCTTCATTAAAACAAACAAATAAATAAATGCATCGCTGTTTTTTCCACAGCATTGTGCAGGTGCCATTTGCTGCTGTTTTCGGTTCCTTCAGCTTCATAATTTATCCACTGTCCCACTTTTTATTAAAATCACGCACCAGTATGTAGATAACGCAAAGGCAGCCTTGCCATTCCAATGTCACAGTATCATAGAATCATAGAATAGTGGAGTTGGAAAGGGCCAAGAAGGCCATCGGGTCCAACCTACTGCTGCTGCAGGACACTGATTTATACCATCCCACTCAGATGGCTGTCCAGTTTCACCTTGAATGTCTCCACTGTGGGAGAGCCCCCCACCTCTCCAGGCAGCTGGTTCCACTGTCGTCTTGCTCTGACAGTGAGGAAGCTTTTCCTGATTTCTAGCCTGAATCTGTTTGTCACAGCTTGACTTGATTATTCCTTGTCCTGCATTCTGGTATCAGCAAGGAGAGATCTTGACCTTCCTCTTTGTGACAGCCTTTGAGGCACTTTGATCTCATGTCCCCCTCAGTCTTCTCTTCTCCTGGCTGAAAATGCCCAGTTCTTTCAGTCTGTCCTCGCAGGGCAGTGTTTCCAAACCCTGGGTCATTTTCTCTGCCCTCCTCTGGACCCTTTCTAAGTTTTCTGCATCTTTCTTAAATCTTGGTGCCCAGAACTGGTTAAACTGGCTAAACTGCTGCCATAACCAGCTAAGCCCTAATCCTAAACCTGCAGAGTACACAAAAGAACAACGCTGTCGCCATTGCATCGCCCTCCCATGCGAGTGTGTTGTTGAACAGCTTCTGATCAATGCTCACGTGGGCATGCGTAAGGCAAGGGGAAAGAGAAGGGGTGCAAAAGAAACGCAGGAGCTTGAGCTTGAGTTCGTGTGCACGTGGTGTGCATTCCGAAGGACAGGCTCTCCTCTTGTTGAACGGGAGTCTGGGAGGTGTGGAAAGCAGGGCAGAAGGAACCAGGGAAACAGCAGAAGAGCCCTCTGGCAATTCAGAAGGAGAAATAAGTTCTTTGCCAGCTCTTTCTTTGTGCCATCGTTGCCCATGGGGAAAGGAACCTGCCCGTGCCTCTTAGATTTAGAGTTTTAATTAGAAGCCGGAAGGACCGTCATGCAGTCCCCTGACACAGCGAGAGATTAGCTGGGCAAACACATTTTCCCCAGTCTGTATTCCCAAGAACTGTGCACGGAGCAAGTGGCACTTGCAGGAGAACGAGCAGGTTGGCCATGGTGATTTCTTCCATCCAGAGCCCTCCTGGCTTGACATTTTTGCCCCTGCTCCGCATCTTGGAATTTGGCAGGGGGTGAAGGAAGAGGGCAGAGGCTATTTATTTAAATGCATGCTTTTATTTAGGAGTATGTGATTTAGGCATGTCTCCTGATGGCACCAGCAGCGACTGGCAGGGCATTCTAAGGAAGGGCAGGGCTTTCAGCACCATGGACAGTGGTGGAGGGAACCTGGTGCCTGCCTTGCCTGCCTCGCCAGCAAGCAGAGAGTTGGTGGGCCCCGAGGATGCCTTGCGCTACAACTCCCAGTATTCCCCAGCAAGTCAATGAGGAAGCGCATGTCCCAAAGCCCACCTCCTTCATGGAAATTTGCTTGAGAATTAAAGGGGCCATGCCCAGTTTTCATGTTCTGGTGGGTTGACTAACATCCTGTCACTGTCAGGAGAAGGAATGTTTTCGTCTCCGGTTTATCAGCTTTCTGAAGTGGCGGCCAGGCTCAGGTGCTCAGGCCTAGAGTCCCCCCAACCTCCACATGCCCAGATGCCTGCGCACTGGTTTTAATGAACGCAGATGTGATTCACAAGCATGGTGGTGTGAGGAATCCGCTCTGGATGGGAACCTGTTGGATTCCCTCAGCTCAGCTCGCTGACTCTAGCCTGGGTTTTCTGCAGCTGCGAGCTTTACTTCCAAGCGTTCCCTCAGGTGCCCACCAAGAACTGGGCCCACCTGACTTTCAACCTCTGTTTGTGTTGCATGTGCTATGGAATCATAGAATTATAGAATAGTAGAGCTGGAAGGGGCCTGAGGGTCATCAGGCCTGACCCCCTGCTCAGTGCAGGACTCTCAGTTAAACCATCCCTCTCAGAGGGCTGTCCAGCTGCCTCTTGAATGCATCCAGTGTGGGAGAGCCCCCCGCCTCTCCAGGCCATGGGCTCCATTGCTGTACTGCTCTAACAGTCAGGATTTCTTTTCCTGATGTTTAGCCGGAATCTGACTTTCTGGAAATTGTGCCCCTTATCTCATGCCCCTACACTTTGGGATGATTCATTCATTTTATTTGTTGGTTTATTTATTTTCTCAAGACATGAGAAAAATAATCATGTCAGGAAGGAACTGAAAGCCAAAGTACGATTTTCCCAAAAATCGATCTAAGCATAATTTCTAAGTATAATTTTCCCACCCAGCCACGTGAACTCCATGACACCCCTTGACGTTCCTGTCAGTTTGCACATCGGGGCAAAAGAAGACCGGTCATTTCTCAAAGGCAACGGCCAACATTGGAGTGAACTGGGGTAGACATAGCGTATGAACAGACTTTACATAATAGGTAAAGTCTGTCAATAGTTTATGAAAAGGTAAAATATGCAGAGTCAGAGTGGGAAACGGCTCTTCCATGAAGTTGCTTCTAGTGCTGCGAGCTGAAGAACGGATTTTCATACAGTGAAGTTAGCAGGAGGTGTGTCCAAACTCAGGGTGTCATTTCTCCCCCGTCCCTGGGGCGTATCTGGCCTACTTTAAGCCAAGGGATCTCTGGTACTTGCGGGCTCACCGTTTTTGCCTTTGGCCTCTCTCGCCACTGGAAGCCCCTCGCCTGCCCACCCCACCCGAGAGCTTCTACGCAAGTCAACTCAGCCCTCTGGCTGACAGCCCCTGGTCTAAATTGTCATGCAAGCTGTTACTTTCAAAACTAAAAATGTCAGTCTAGATTTAAAGCAGTGACCCAAACTCCAGACTATCTGGCATAGCTCAGCTTCCTGCAGAGATGGGGCCACACCTAAAACGATAAAGCTCCGAGATAAAGGGAAATAATCAATTGCCGTATCAACATCAACAGGATGAAAAAAATTCCCCTTGGTTCCCTCCCACGCTGCTCCTGCAGTGCAGGCACACAGAAAGGAGCCGGAGGGCATCTTGGGAATCTCCCAGTCCAACCTTCTTCTCCAAGCAAGCTCTGGAGTGCAGGATCAGGCTAGCACAGCCCTCTTAGGTCACTGTTGAGCCTCCAAGTCAATCCCGCCGGGGCAGCCCTTCCCTCTGTGCCCCACTGAGCAATGTGCAATCCCCCCGGGGCAGTGCAGCCTTGCTTCTCCCTTGCAGCAGGACCGCCTTCGCTGTTCAGAAGGACTGCAGGGGATTTTACCCGCTGTGTTTTATTATTGTCCTTGAATTGCAATGAATATCTTTTTTTAAAAAACTGCTAGAACAAACCTGCATTTTAGTAATGGAAACAGGATTGAGAAATGCAAGACATTGGTCGTTTAGAAGTATATCTAGCGAAAGATCAAGAAGGGGGGAAAAGCAAGCTAATTCTAGAAGTCCGACTCTTCTCTCTCTCTCATTTTGCTTAACCGTGTCAGGGCGTTCTCATATCTTGCAATTCCTTATCAACTTCCCCAACATGATACATAGAAATGCAGAAAGACAGCACTTCTATTCGTTTCCATTTCTCCATGGAAAAATCAGTGTGGTTGGGTGCAAGCGTCTTTGGAAATTATGTTCCCTGCACCACAGGCCTCTCCATTCGAGCT